TTTTCAGTTAAGTGATCCCTGTTAAATATAAGAGTGGGAATAAGAGAGGGAAGAGATGTGCAATTCGGGACATGCTCAAGCTGAGTTGCCCCAAACGGTAGAGTTAGAAACATACCAGGGGATTCCAATTCAATCCCATCAAGGTGGCATGTACCAATGCCATCTCACTAGTCCCAGTGATCAATTTCTGTTCACAATTGATCATAATGATAGGACTAAGAATCAAAGGGATCACATAAACAAGACTAATGTCTGAAAATACTAACCAATAGAACAAAAAAGGGAGAGAATGATCCAACATGGAAAGCGAGATACACAGCAGACTCATAGAATGGCAAATGTCCTAAACAGCACTCTGGCCTCAGAATCAGCCCTTAAGGCATGCGGATCCAGCTGAAAAGCCTATGAGAGTATTTCAGGCATGGAAAGCCAAGACACTCTGGGGCGGGGGGGGGGGGGGAGACCTAAATGAAAGATCTCCGTGAGTGAGATCCCAGTGGAAAGAACAGGTCATCAAAGAAGGAGGTACCTTTCTCTGAAGGGAGGAGAGAACTCCCACTTTGACTACGACCTTGTCTAAATATGATCAGAGTCGGTGAACTCAGAAGGCTTCCATAGCCTTGGCAACTCATGACAAGAGCCTAGGGTGATTACTGATGCCATAAACAAGAGTGTCAATTTGTTAAATCAACAACAGGAGTCACTGTGCACTTACTCCTCATGTAGGATCTCTGTCCTTAATGTGCTGTACAGTGTGATTTAATGCTATAACTAGTACTCAAACAGTACCTTTCACTTTGTGTTTATGTGTGGGTGCAAACTGTTGAAATCTTTACTTATATATACTAAACTGATCTTCTGTATATAAAGAGATTTGAAAATGAATCTTGATGTGAATGGAAGGGGAGAGGGAGCGGGAAAGAGAAGGGTTGCGGGTGGGAGGGAAGTTATGGGGGGAAAAAGCCATTGTAATCCATAAGCTGTACTTTGTAAATTTATATTCATTAAATAAAAGTTAAAAAAAAGACTCAACCACTTGGGCTAGAAAACCTGTACTGAGTTTCTAGCTCCTGGCTTCAACTCTGCCCAGCCCTGGCCTACTTCCATTTACTGTGGAGTGAAAGTAACGGGAATCTCTCTCTCTCTCCCTGCCTCACCCAGCCATCTCAAATACATGAGGGGAAACATTTTTTTTAGAGATTTTGTTTATTTGAAAAGCAGAGTTACAGAGAGAGAGAAGCAGAGATCTTCCATCTGCTCATTCATTCCCCATATGGCCGTGACAGCCTGGGCTAAGCCAGGCCAAAATCAGAAGCCAGGAGCTCCATCCAGGTCTCCCATAGAGGTGGCAGGAACCTAAGCACTTGGGTCATCTTCCTCTGCTCTTCCAAGCCCATTAGCAGGGAGCTGGATTGGCAGTGGAGCAGCCGGGACACAAACACCACATGAGATGCTGGAGTTGCAGGCAAAAGCTTTACCAGCTATGCCACAACACAGGCCCTGGGAAAATTATTTTTAAAGGTAAGTTTATTTTAGTGAAAACAATTCTGAAATCTATACATGTGAAGGGTTTTCAGAAAGTTCATGAGAAATGTATTTCATGAAAATTTTTGGAACCAAATTTATCATCATTTAATTCCACTTTTCCATCAACTTTTTAAAGTACTTTCATATATAAAACATAAAAAGGCTTTTATGGGGTCCTGCACTTCTAAGCCAAAGTGGTGCCCATGTCTACCAATTCTGTTTTATAATCTCACCAAAGAGGCAAGTATTGTGGTACAGCAGCTTAAGCCACCACCTGCAATGCTAGCATCCCACATTAGCACCACTTCAAGTCCAGGCTGCTTTATTTCTGATCCAATTCCCTGCTAATGTGCCTGGGAAAGCAATAGCACTTGGGCCCCTGCCATCCACATGTGAGACCTAGATGGAGTGCTGGGCTCCTGGCCCCAGCATTGGGGTCATTTGGCGAATAAACCAGCAAATCAAAGATCTCTCTCTCTCTCTCTCTCTCTCTCTCTCTCTCTCTCTCTTGTTTTTCTTAGAGCCAGTGCTGTGGCCTGCAGCACCAGCATTCCATATAGGTACCAGTTCAAGTCCTGGCTTTTCCACTTCTGATCCAGCTTCCCAATTACTGGGCGTGGAAAAGCAATGGAAGATGGCCCACATACTTAGACCCCTAAATCCACATGGGAGACTCATATGAAGTTCCTGGTTCCTGGATTTGCCATGGCCCAACCTGGGCTGCTGCGGCCATTTGGAGAGTGAACCAGCAGATGGAAAATTTCTCTGTCTCTCCCTCTCTAACTTTGCCTTTCAAATAAATAAATAAATCTTAAAAAAAAAAAATCACCAAAGAATAGCCCTGGGACTGCCATGAGGATTCCTGCTAAATAGCAACTCATTTTACTGTTCTACTGGGATGCTGGGTTTCCTGTCATGTACCCCTAAGAGAGGCCAGTTCCCTTCATGAACTATTGTGAATATATGGGTTTGATTATCTAGCTAAAGCCAGCTTCACTATTGTTGGCTAAGTACAGTGAGCAAGGCAATTATCTTTACCAAGCAATCGAGCAGAAGACAATTTCAAAGGCAGAGAGACAACAGAGATCTTCCATCCAGTGGTTGACTCTTCAAACACCCCAAAACACCCAGGCTAGGCCAAGTAGAAGACAGAAGTCTCAAACTCATTGCAGATGGGTAGCAAGGGCTGAAGTTCTTGAGATGTCAACTGTTACTCCCAAGGTAACAGTTAGGACACGCATTAGTAGGAAGCTAGATCACAAGAGGAGTAATGGCAACTTAAATCAGGCACACCAATATGGTAAAAAGGCATCCCAAGTTACAAGTTAAGACCCTGTGCCAAATGCCCCCAAAAGATCATTTCTGTCTTATTTTATTCCAAAGGGAAAAAAATAAGAGAAAACAAGTAAATATGGCAAAATATAAAGATCTGACAAATCTGAGTGGGACACATATACTTGTATTCCTTTTTTATTCTGCAAATTTTACTACAACCTTGAAAGATGGCATGATCATCTTTCAACAAAGAAAAGTATGGTCTACATAAGTCACAAATCTAGTGGCTAACTCTCTTAAGTATCCTATCTTAATTAAAAATGTTAAAGATCTAAAATATACATGAGGGTGGTTAAGGCATTGGGTACAGTGGCTAGATACTGTTTGTGATGCCCACATATTTGAGTGCTTTGGTTCGAGTCCTGGCTCTGCTCTTAATTCTAGTTTCCTGCAAATGCACACCTTGTGGGGAAGTATGTGATAGCACAATTATCTGGGTTCCCATCATCTACATGGGAGACCTGGAATGAGTGTACACTGCTAGTATCAGCTTGGCCTAGTCCCAGGGATTGCCAGCATTTGGGTAACTGCATATGGGCAATCTCTAAAAGAAAATAATTAACTAAACAATTACTTAAAATACATGAGAGTACCTCAAAAAGTTCACATAAAAGGAGAGTACTTGGTCTAGTGATTTACACCTGCATCCCATACCAGAGTGCCTAGGTTTAATATTTGACCTCAGCTCCCAGCTCCAGCTTCCAGTTAATGTGAACCCTGGGAGGTGGCAATGACAGCTCAAGTACCTAATTCCTACCACCCACGTGGGAGACCTGGATTGAGTTCCTGGCTCCTGGCTTTAGAGGCACTGTAGGCATTTGGGGAGTGAACCAAGACTGACAGTCTTGTCCATCTCTCAGATAAATAAAGGGAAAAGGTCATGGAAAATGGAGTTACAAGGCAACCTTATTTTGATGTAAAAAGTTTTAAAATAATACATGTAAAGAGGTTCATGTAAAACTTGTATTATGAAAAAACTATGCACGCACTTCAAAATTATTTTGTACAATGATAAGAGTATACTTCAAAAAGTTTGTGGAAAACAGAATTAAAAATATGTCTATTTTGGTGTGAAAAATGAAGCTCATGCATGTGAGCAGCCTTCAAAAAGTTAATGAATAAAGCAGATCATGAAAAGACTACACATGGATTTCAAAATGATAGCCAGGTTAATCACATTCTCCACAAACTTTAAAGTACTCTCTCCAGGCGCCACGGCTCACTAGGCTAATCCTCCACCTGCAGCACCAGCACACAGGGTTCTAGTCCCGGTCAGGGCGCCGGATTCTGTCCCGGTTGCCCCTCTTCCAGGCCAGCTCTCTGCTGTGGCCAGGGAGTGCAGTGGAGGATGGCCCAAGTACTTGGGCCCTGCACCCCATGGGAGACCAGGAGAAGCACCTGGCTCCTAGCTTCGGATAGGTGCAGCACGCCAGCCGTGGCAGCCATTTGCAGGGTGAACCAACGGAAAAAGGAAGACCTTTCTCTCTGTCTCTCTCTCTCACTGTCTAACTCTGCCTGTCTTTAAAAAAAAAAAAAAAAAAAGTACTCTCATAAACTTTTAATTCCAGGTTTTCATGAACTTTCTAAAGCACCTTTATAATACTTTTTTTTTTTTTTTGGACAGGCAAAGTTAGTGAGAGAGAGAGAGACAAGAGACAGGTCTTCCTTTTCTGTTGGTTCACCCCCCAAATGGCCGCCACGGCCAGCGCACTGCGCCAATCCGAAGGCAGGAGCCAGGTGCTTCCTCCTGGTCTCCAATGCGGGTGCAGGGCCCAAGCACTTGAGCCATCCTCCACTGCCTTCCCGGGCCACAGCAGAGAGCTGGACTGGAAGAGGAGCAGCCGGGAGAGAATCCAGTGCCCCAACCGGTACTAGAACCCGGAGTGCCGGAGGATTAGCCAAGTGAGCCGCGACACAGGCCTTGTAATACTGTATTAAATTATTCAGCTCTTCTCAAAAGGGAAACACTCTGAACAGAAAATTCAATAAAACCAGAACAATAATCAAAACCAAAGCAATCAGGTCCTCCAATAACAGGTTCTCAAGATCTTTATCTTATAAATTCACAAAGTCCAAATCAATCAAGGTCAGAATAAAGAATAATCAGAGTAAGATGAGAAATCAGCGGTGTTACTTACGATAAAAGAAAGGGACAAACTCTACTGTGAGAGAAGCTGGTTTATATTTCTGTCTGCTCTTTTCCATGGTACTAAGGATGCGTCTATCATAAAAAAGAAGATAATAACAAATTATATCATAGGTGGTGAGAGATGACACATTACCAAAACAATTATACAACAAATTTTTTTTTTTTGACAGGCAGAATGGATAGTGAGAGAGAGAGAGACAGAGAGAAAGGTCTTCCTTTTCCATTGGCTCACCCTCCAATGGCCGCCAAGGCCAGCGCACCCCGCTGATCCGAAGGCAGGAGCCAGGTGCTTCTCCTGGTCTCCCATGCGGGTGCAGGGCCCAAGCACTTGGGCCATCCTCCACTGCACTCCCTGGCCACAGCAGAGAGCTGGCCTGGAAGAGGGGAACCGGGACAGAATCCGGCGCCCCGACCGGGACTAGAACCCGGTATGCCGGCGCCGCAAGGTGGAGGATTAGCCTAGTGAGCCGCGGCTCCGGCTATACAACAAATTATAATTTTACTTTTGATTTGTTTATTGAACAATACATCTCCAGCACTGGCATCATCTTGAAACTCTAGCCAATAATTGAAATATTTTAAAGGATTTCTTCTGAATTAAGCAACACGATGGCCAGGTTAAGACTTAAACTAACTGGAAATTGAAAAAGGACCTAGCGCTTCAATGTTTCAATCTTTAAAAGAACTGTTTATTAGTACTGCTAAACTAACAGCTAAGACCAGTAGCTGATTATTACAGTATACCTGAAATTGATCAGAAATCAGGCTACTCTACTACTTTCTGAAGTTTTAATCTGGACACAATGGGCTTATGCAACTAGCTTCATTCTAAGTGTATGATTCCAGGATGGAAATCATTTTTTTTTTAATACCAACTATAGTAGTTTTGATGGATGTAATGTTGTCTAGACTTGGTTTGGGCAGAAATTGCACATGTGTTTACCAAGAACATCACACAATTCAAGAAAAAAAAATCTGAATCTCTTGGATGGATATGGTAGTACAAATATTGGTGAAAACTAACTAAATAAATTAGACATTTTATTCTGCCCTGAAAAAGTACTTAACATCATTAGATAAAGATAAATATGATCTACTGATAATACACAGACTTAATATGTAACTTTTTCTTAATGATTATCACTGAGTTCCTGAGATTCCTTCCCTCATAATTAATTCAAAGCTAGGAAGAAATGCCAACTGACAACAGAATACACCAAATAGGAGGAGGACATCTGGACTCACAGATGGCAAAATACAGAGTCCTAAGATTCAGATGTAATATCTAGACTCAACAGGAATTATTTCAAAATGACACCATTTGCTATTGTACTGCTTTCTAGTCTATGTTCATTCCCAGTATTGTAGAAGCATAAAAATGATCATATTTCCCATATTTAATGTTAAACATAACACTAGGAGGATTAGATCTTCATAGTTAAGACCACTACCAAAGATTTGGTTTTTATAGCAAAGCAAAATTTATTAGAGTTTGATATTTAAAACTTCACTCAAGTGACAGAAAGAAGTTTAGAATAAAATGACTTAGCATTCAGGTAGGTTTTCCCTTGAGATTCTTTCCATTTTGTTAAGTTATTATACAGTATAAATAGATAGGCTATTCCCTATCCAGACACTCTGTGCTAAATATCTTTACCTGATTAACATAATAAAAATCCATTCCTGCAATTTGTGATCAATGACGCATTCCAAAGTCCCCACATCAGACATAATATATGAACAAATAATGTTGATTGTATTTGTGGTAAAAACATAATATGCTAACATAGAGAAATAGGCTGAGAACTATTACACGTATCAGAACCCAAAAATTAATTATCAAAATGAATTAAAAATAATTAAAAATAAGTGGGGTTGTCATTGTATGTTTTCAGTAAGTTAGTAAAGTTAAAAATGAACTCATGTTGTACTATTTTCAGAACACAACATACTTGACTGCCCCATCACGATTTAATATTTGGGCAAAACATCTAGTACTTGGCAGACACTAATACATATCAACCGGTTTCTCAGACGGCTGGCAAACACTTGTCTGCATCTCACTTTTCTAAGCTCTTATCCTCCAGTTAATTTAGCAACACTTCTTTTTATGCTCTTATTACAAATTAATTTTTTAATTTATTTGGAAACAAATTTAAGCTCCTGCAAAAGTTAAAATAACAGTACAAAGAATGTGAAATATAGTATACACAGGTTTCATTAACATTTTATACTAAATATTTATCAGCTTTCTCCTTTACAGTGTACACATTTTTATATACACATGTGCTCACAAGTATCTTTCAGAATCTTTTTTAAAGATTTATTCATTTAAAAGGTGGAGTATCATAGAAACAGAGGAAGAAACAGAGACAAAACAGATCTTCCACCCACTGTTTCACTCCCCAGATGGCTACACTGCCAGGGTTGGACCAGGCTGAACCCAGGAACCAGGAACTCCATCCAGGTCTCCTATGTGGGTGATAGGGACCTAAGTGCTTCAGCTATCATCTGCCAATTTCCCAGGCATATTAGCAGGAAGCTGTACCAGAAGTGGAGCAGCCAGGACTTGGACTGGCACTCAGATAGAGATACCAGCTTCCCAAGCAGTAGCACTGGAACCACAACACTGCACTCAATTTTTCAGAACATTTTTTAAAGAGAAGTCACATAATCATGGCCCTTTACTTTTCTTCTTTTTCTCAAATGATATTATTTTTTTTCTCTTTTATTCTTTCTCTTCAATCTTGAGATGTTCTATGGAAGGTAAGGCTGTGTATTTTTTCAATTCAATTATTTTTCAATAATTCTTTAAGCAAATGAGTGCAATTCACACTGTACTGAATATTCGTCAAGAATAAGGATATTGTCTTCTACAACAGTACAGTACCAATTCAATAAATTTAATACATCTACTTTTACCTAATCCATCACCCATATTCCAGTTTTGTCAGTTCTCCCAAACAACTCCTCTACTACACTCCCCCCCTTTCCAGGACAGTTTTCCCAAGGCAAGGGCAGGTTATTGCATCTGGCGCCTCTATTATTCTTGAATGTGAAATATTTCTACAATCTCTCTTTGTGACATTTTTAAAGGATGCTAGCCCCCGCTACCTCCCTTTATTTACAAGGTTCTTCATTTTGGAGTTGCTGGATACTTCCTCATAATTAGACTAGGAAGACACATTCTTGGCTGGAATATCACATAAGCAATGATGCGCTCTTCTCATGGTATCACATGTGAAGACACATGGTGCCCATCTGTGTGGGGAACAATCCGGACTAGACTGAGTTACTGGAATTAAGACTTATTCTATGCATCTGCTCTCCCACAATATGGCGCTGGGAGAGAAGAAAACAGCTTCTACACAGGTGCCTCCAGTTCAACCAATAAACTGTAGGACTCGCTCCTGATTGGAGGAGAGCAGCGTACTCGGCGTGTGGGCAGCCGAGTTGGGATTGGCGGAGGAGGACTATAAAGGAGGAGAGAGACGGTATGCACCAGGAACATCTAAGGGGAACATCTGTGCAGCCCCCGAGAAAGCTGGCCGGCGGTGTGCCGCTCTCCCCTGCGGAAGTGGGGAATGTGGCCAGGGGGAACTGCCCTTCCACAGAGGTGGAAGGGATAGTAGCCAACCCGGGAAGAACCAGCAGCAAACCCGGGGAGGGCCGAGCAGACAGAAAGAACAGCGCAGGGTCCTGTGTCGTTCCTCCACGAAGAGGGGGAGCGACAATCTGGTTCTCACTGGTGATGTTAAAGTGGATCATTCAGTCCACTGTGTTATTTGGGTACTATCCCCAAAAATACTAATTTTCCATTTGCAAGTAATAAGTAATCTTGGAGACATTTTAAAACTACGCACATTCTATGTTCCTTACTAAAATCTTCCCAGTGATGTCTGACCCAGTATTTACAATCACATTGCCAAATGCCAATTTCTTTTTCCCAATTCTAGCATCAATTTCACATTTACAGTTGGTATTTGACGCTCTACTACAGGCAAGGGTCTTTATTTACCTATGTATGTGTGTATCTACCTATCTATCGTATCTATGGCATGAACCCATGAATTCTCTTTGTTTATTTTTGTTACTGTGGTGATTCTTGCACATATATTGTCCCAGATTTGAAAAATAGGAGCCCCAGGATGACATTTACCATAATTAAAATTTTATCTGTGGTCAGGCAATGAATCCTACTAAATGTGCAATTAGCACAAGGTAAGACCTCAGTAAGTAGATTTTTGAATAAATGAGTAAGAAATTTTGAGAAAATTTCTTTCTCCATACTTATTTAGTTCCATTCAAAGAAGTCTGAGACACTGCAAGCCAAGTTAAAATTGAGCTAATAAGGGCCAAGGTTAAGGCATAGCAAGGTAAAGCCGCTGCCTGAGACGCTGGCATCCCATAGGGGTACCAATTTGAGTATCAGTCACTGCACTTCTAATTCAGCTCCCTGTTAACAGTCTAGTAAAAACAGCAGAAGATGGCCCAAGTATTTGGGTCCCTGACCCCATGTGGGAGCCCTGGTTAAAGCTCCTGGCTTTGGCATGGCCTGCTTGGACCATTGCAGGCAACTGGGGAGTGAACCAGCAGATGGAAGACTCTTGTCTTTCTTTCTGTAACTCTGCCTTTCAAATAAATAAATAAATAGATAAAAATTAAGCTAAGGGCCGGTGCTGTGGCGTAACGGGTAAAGCCGCCACCTGCAGTGCTGGCCTCCCATATGAGCGCCAGTTTGGGTCCCAGATGCTTCATTTGGAGAGTGAACCAGTGGATGGAAAATCTCATTGTCTATCTTTCCTCCTTTCTCTCTCGGTAACTCTGACATTTAAATTAAAAAAAAAAAAAAAAGACAAAAGTTGTATATTTAAGGTGTACAACATAATATTTTGAAATACGTATATATTGTAGAAAGGCTTAATTAGCTACTCAACAAATATATTACTTCATATAATCTGTGCAAGATAAGAATGATATGTACATTTAAAACCCAACTCTTGGGGTGGCCAGTTGGCAAAATGGTTAAGACGCTGCCTGAGATGCCTGCATCCCATACTAGAGTGCCTGGGTTAGAGTTCCAGCTCCATTTTGATTTTAGCTTCCCGCTAATGTGTACCCTCATGGGAGACCTGGATTGAGTTCTAGGCTCCTGGTTTCAGCCTGGCCTAGCCCCAGCAATTGCAGGTATTTGAGGAGTAAACCAGTAGAACCATTGGAAGTGAACCAGTGAACCAGCAGAAGATTCATTCTCTATCTCTATCTCACTGCATTGTAAATAAAAATAAAACATTTTATCCCTCCCTAAAAAAACAAACAAAAAACACCTTAAATTTTTTTAACTCCACTAGTAATTAAGCTACAATAAACTACTATAATTGGGCTACAAACCCACTAGTCTATATTCTCTCTGCCTTCCAATGATGCTGGGATAGGCACTTTTCAAAATGTCTTTCTCCTTTTCCAGTTGCCTCCCTTTTGGGTTCCCCAACACTGGCACGAGACAGAAACTACAACAAAGAGTGAAAATGGGAGTGGTTCCATATTCCTCTTTTCCACTGTACTCGTTAGCACTGAGCCAGCAAAAGTTCTTCACTTAAAGTAACAGCAGCTGGTTCCTGCCTTCAGCTTATTTTTGGCAGTCCTAGAACAAGCTTCCTCGCTGGCCATTCAGGACACCAGACTCAGGTAAGCAATGCTCCCTTCCTCAGAGGAGCTTTCTGGCTGCAAGGGCTTCTCCAAATGTCTGGATTAAATCCAGCACCATCCCTCTGTTCCCACATCTCCCTAGGGAAGGTCATTGTTTCCTGAATTCACTATCTCTGAATTACCCCAGTGTTGCACTATTGCCTTTTTAGTTCTCTAATATCTCTGTTTAATAACTTCCTTGTATTACATTCTCTTAAATATCTAGTTGGGTTTCTGTTTTCCTAAATGGATTCTGACTGGAACAAGATCTCCAACTAAAAATAAATGTAAAAAATACTGACAAAAAGTATTTTTAAAATTATGAAATATACTTTTTGAAAAAGAAAACATCTCTTGAAAAATATGTTCACTATACTTGTTGCTATTGTGCTTTTAACATTTCTTATCAGATTATTAGTATTCAACTGCATTGAAAAATACAAGTTCAGAGAAGGAATGCACTGAATTATCTGAAAGTATCACTTAATTAACTCATTACCTCTAACATGTTTATTTATCTGAATTAAGCTTGTGGGTCTTAAACAAATCTTTACAATTGCTTTCATAGAAAGGACTTGCTTTAAAGAATCACATGTATCATGGAATTTGTTTTATATGAAAATTATGATTTTATAAGACATACCCTGAGATTCTATGTCGCCAATTCCTATAAGGATCATACAAACTTTCACAAAATGCCAATGCATGAATCACAAATTCTTCAATAGAAGTCTGATCCGCCATTTCCTTCTCCTTTTTTTTGCTTTTTAACTGAAAATTAAGTTAAAATAAAATTAAAAGGCATGATCATTCAACATCTAACAATAAATTATTTTTGTGCAAAAAATACTAATTTCCCCATTGAGTCTAAAAGAGCCATTTGATCATATGAACCAAATATACCATCTTAAATTTTAAATTTTTCCTAAGATACATATTAAACAGACAGCCAGTATCTTTTGAAAATAACATGCTTTCTGTAAAGAGAGATATGCAATAAAATCACAAACTATGTCATTAAAAAAACTAATTTAATGAAACTGTTTAATTAAAATAACAACTATTCGTTCTACCTTTAGATAATATCTGAAATATATACTACCCAATGATAATTTTAATTCTCTTCTCAATTATTAACCCCTCTAAACACATTTAACTATATTAACTATAATATAAAGAAGTGAAACCTTTTTAGTCTCAGTAAAGCAATAAAAAATATATTAGTTCACACCTACTTGCTGAATATAGAGTGTTGTCATGGTGATGACATGATTAATATACGAGCAAGTCCCAATTTCTTCTACATTTGATAGATTTCTGATAAAAAAAATCACAAAACAGTGAATAAAATGTATGTTCACATATTTAGTTTGAATTTTGAAAACACGTTGGTAAACGATGTACAAATGACAACTATTAAAATATAAAATCACTATAGCTATACAAATGAGTGCCTTCCACTGAGATTGTAAAATACAGCTCAAGCACCACTTAACTATGTTGTATAAGAAGTACATGCCCAGGGCCGGCACTGTGGCGTAGCTGGTAAAACCGCCTGCAATGCTGGAATCCCACATGGGCATCAGTTCGTGTCCCAGCTGCTCCACTTCCAATCCAGCTCTCTGCTATGGCCTAGGAAAGCAGTAGAAGATGACCCAACTCCTTGGCCCCCTGCATCTGCATGGGAGACCGGGAAGAAGCTCCTGGCTCCTGGCTTCAGATCAGCACAGCTCTGGTCGTTGCAGCCAATTGCGGAGTGAGTCAGCAGATGAAGACCTCTCTCTCTCTGCCTCTCCATCTCTCACTTTCAAATAAATAAATAAATCTTTAAAAAAATATATGCCCATTAGCATTGATTTATTAAAGAAAAAACTGGAAAATATAAAGTAGAAACAGAAAAGAGAAAAAAATTTCCAGTATTTTTGTAACCCAAATATTTATGTCTAAATTTTTTTCTTACAGTTTATCCACCAGTGCAGATACTTAAGAGTTCAGTTTTGTGTATCTGTTGTCAATATACTATCCAAGTGGTTTTAAAATTTTAATGTTGCTTTTGTTATTACAGTTCTCTTTTTAGACTGATATCATATCTCCTTGAGTATATTAAAAATACGTGATGGGGACTAGTGTGAGGCGTAATAGGTTAAGTTACCACCTACAACGCCAGCATCCCGTATGGGTGCTAGTTCGAGTCCTAGCTGCTCCACTTCCGATCCAGTTACCTGCTAATGCTCTGGGAAAAGCAGAGGAAGATGGCCCAAGTGTTTCAGGCCCTGCCACTCACAAAGAAGACCAGATGAAGCTCCTGGCTCGTGGCTTCGGCTTGGACCAGCCCTAGTCATTACAACCACCTGGGGGAGTAAATCAGTGGATGGAAGATCACCCTCCCAGTCCCTCTCTGTCTCTCTCTCTCCATAATTCTTCAAATAAATAAATCTTTCTCTTTTTTAAAGATTTATTTATTTGAAATTCAGAGTTATGGAGAGCAAGAGAGAGGTCTTCATCCACTGGTTCACTCCCCATTGGCCACAACAGCCGGAGCTGCACCAGTCCGAAGCCAGGAACCAGGAGTGTCTTCCAGGTCTCCCACATGGTACTGGGGCCCAAGGACTTGGGTTATCCTCCACCATTTTCCCAGGCCACAGCAGAGAGCTGGATCAGAAGTAGAGCAGCTGGGACTTGAACTGGCACCCATATGGAATGCCGGCACTGCAGGCAGCGGCCTTACCTTCTATGCCACAGCGCTGGCCCCTAAATAAATCTTAAAAAAGACAATACTTGATGGAAGGGCTATAGCATCTTTATTCACTATGAGGGCATAATGTCATATCCTGATTAAAGCAATGACTCAGTAAGTGCTTGATATTTAACTAAAACATAGGCCATAATTTTTATTCTATAAAACTTTAGTATGATACATAATATGCTAATATCTACTACATTTAAAATCATTTTTATAATAAAATGTAGTTTATTATTTTTTAATTTTCAGATACTTTATCCTTGTAAAATAATTTATATCTTAAAATCAAGTAGACTTTCCTAATAGGAAAAATTAACATAGTTCTTTTTAAAAATTACTGATTTATATATTTGAGACAGCAAAATAGAAAGAAAGATACAGACAGAGAGAGTGCTACCATCTGCTGGTTCACTTTCCAAATGTCCACAATGCTGAAGCTGGGAGTGGGAAACTCAATCCAGGTCTCCCCTGTTCGAGTGGCAAGAATCAATCTACTTGAGCCATCACTATTACCTGAGCCAGGATCTGCATTAGTAAGAACCTGGAACCAGTAGCCCGAGTCAGAGGCAGGCATTGAATGCAGGCACTCAGTGTGGGGAATGGGCATCTTAAGCTTTAGACTAAACACCTATCTCTGAATTAACAGCCTTCTTAATCTAAGAAGTCAGATGGTCATGACATCTTGGGGAAAACAGAGTAAAGACAGAGGTAACATCAAAAGCCTTTCCAAGAGTTCTGCGTCCAGTAATGGTAACAAGGATCAATCTTCCCTCTAAAAGAAACTAGAAAAGATGAAGAAAACATTTTCTGAAGATCTATTTAAAAAAGAATCATAAAGCTAACAAGGCAGTGATGAATTATAGACTCAAGATACAGAAAAAGGAAACTCAGAAAAATGAGATCTGCATTTAGATCCATCATTTTTTTTAAAGCTTTATTTATTTTATTTGAAACACAGAGTTACAGAGAGGCAGAGAGAGAGAGACAAAGAGGTGTCTTCCATTCACTGGTTCATGCTCATGATGACCGCAATGGCCAGAGCTGTGCCGATCTGAACGCAGGAATCAGGAGCTTCTTCCGGGTCTCCCATGTGGGTGCAGGGGCCCAAGGACTTGGGCCATCTTCTACTGCTTTTCCAGGCCACAGCAGAGAGCTGGATCAGAAGTGGAGCAGCCAGACTCGAACTGGCACCCATATGGGATGTCGGCACTGCAAGCGGCGGCTTTACCTGCTGTCCCACAGCACTGGCCCCTAAATCCATCTTTACACTCATGACTTCTTCCAGTCCTGACAGAGGCAGATGAAACAAGCAGAGGGATAAACCCGGAATTCAGAGCTCAGATGTGATAGTCTCTAAGGCTTTGGTTTGAGATCCCAAAGGGCAACATTTAAGAAATAAAAGTGAAATGCAAACTGATCAGTAGTAATAGAGACTGGAATCCAAACCATCTTTTTTTTTTTTTAAGATTTATTTATTTATTTATAAATCAGAATTACAGAGAGGGGGAGACAAAGACAGATAGATTTTCCATCTGATGGTTCACTCCCTAAATGGCCACAGTAGCCAGAGCTGAGCCAGGCATAAGGTAAAAGTGAGGACCTTCTTCTGGGTCTCCCAAGTGGGTGCCGGGGGGCCATCCTCCACTGCTTTCCCAGGCACATTAGCAGGGATCTGGATCAGAAATAGAGTAGCCGAGACTCAAACTGGTACCTATATGTGAAGCTAGTGCTGCAGACAGCAACTTAACCAATCCAAATCAACTTAATCACTATTAGAAAGATCCTTCTTTTCCAAAAGCTAAGGTTTTACTATCTCCAAATAAAGAATCATGCTAAGCTTGTAATTATCACTAAAATTTTTCAAAAGCAATGCCTAACAATCAAATATAACTCACTGAGATGGCAACACAAGTTTGAAAATCAAAAGAAATATACAGGGGCCAGCGCCATAGCTCACTTGGTTAATCCTCCGCCTGCGGTGCCGGCATCCCATATGGGCACCGGGTTCTAGTCCCGGTTGCTCCTCTTCCAGTCCAGCTCTCTGCTGTGGCCCAGGAGGGCAGTGAAGGATGGCCAAGGTGCTTGGGCCCTACACCTGCATGGGAGACCAGGAGGAAGTGCCTGGCTCCTGGCTTTGGATCAGTGCAGCGCTGACCGTGGCGGCCATTTTGGGAGTCAACCAACGGAAGGAAGACCTTTCTCTGTCTCTCTCTCTCTGTCTATAACTCTACCTGTCAAATAAAAATAAATAAATAAATAAATATAGTTTAAAAAAAGAAATATACAAAAGAAACAGATCCACAAGTTGAGCAAAAAAAAAAAAAAAACAAAAAGCCAGGTATAAAACTGTAGAAAGTATATGATTGATTCAATTCACAAAATTCAAAATTAGGCAAAATCAATCCATGGTATTATATGTCAGGATAACAGCTATCTTTGGGGAATAGTGAGGAAGTTAGAATTATGACAGAGTATAGGATGGGCTCTGGGTACCAATGTTGTCCTATTTCTTGACTTGAGTAATGATGACACAGTGTACTGACTTAAAGATGATGTATTGATGGGGCTTCCTCTGTGGCATAGTGAGTTAAGCCTCCACCTGTGGTGCCTGGCATTCAATATGGGTGTCAGTTCATGTCCTGGCTGCTGTTCTGATCTAGCTCTCTGTTAATGGCCTGGGAAAGCAGCAGAAGATGGCCCAAGTGCTTGGACCACTGCACCCATATTGGAGACCTAGAGGAAACTTCTAGCTCCTGGCTCCTGGCTTCAGATTTGCCCAGCCCCAGCCATTGCGGCCATTTAGGGAGTGAACCAGCGGATTGAAGACTGTTCTGTCTCTCCTTCTCTCTATCTGTAACTCTGTCTCTCAAATAAACAAACAAAATCTTAAAAAAAAAAAAAGATAATGTACTGAGCTATATACACATGATGAGATAATTTTATGTATATTATACTTTTTCTTTTGACAGGCAGAGTGGACAGTGAGAGAGACAGAGAGAAAGGTCTTCCTTTACCGTTGGTTCACCCTCCAATGGCTGCTGCAGCCGGTGCGCTGTGGCCAATGCGCTGTGGTCGGCGCACCGCACTGATCCAAAGCCAGGAGCCAGGTGCTTATCCTGGTCTCCCATGCGGATGCAGGACCCAAGGACCTGGGCCATGCTCCACTGCACTCCCGGGCCATAGCAGAGAGCTGGACTGGAAGAGGGGCAACCGGGACAGAATCCAGCGCCCCAACAGGGACTAGAACCCGGTGTACCGGGACTAGAACCCAGTGTGCCGGCACCACAGGCAGAGGATTAGCCTATTGAGCCACGGTGCTGGCCTATATTATACTTTAATAGAAAAGTCTGTCATATCAAAAATAAAGCACCAGGATAGGTTGGCCCAAGTATTCAGATAACAAAGAAATACTTTCTATTGTGAATTTTAACATAATAATAAAACAGTTGAAAATCCAGTGTGCCTTTTAGTATCACCAAGCATCAGTAATTTAAAATATTTCTAAATACATATACACACGTATTTATTTTTCCTGAAAAAAAACTTTGGTTCACTTAAGTTCTAAAACATTTGA